AATCATACTCCTAGTGAGAAAGGGTTCTTTAGGACCAATTACCTCCTGAAATTGAGAGCCAGACCTTTATACCAGTCCAAGTAATTTGTTGGATATCTGTAATAAGACTTGTACCACTTTGGGGAAAACATAGAGAACTCTGTGGGTGCCTTGGCAAGCAGGGATTTAAAAATATCTGTGGTTTGTGTGGCTTCATTGGATAAAATGTAGGATTTTCCACCCTGTGGTTTAAATTTCCATGTGCTGGAGTTTGTAGAATTTGTTTTTCTGAAATGTTGCTTATATCTAAAATGAAGCCCTTACTTATGTTTAGTCAGGGCTGGGAGGAATTGACTCAGAGAAGTGATAATGGATACGCTGGAGTTGTTGAGGGGCCTCCAGAATAGATTGTTCAGTAGTAAGATACTTTTTTTTTTTTTAATGCAGCCAGCTCAATTTTCTCCTAAGCAGTGAGTGATGAAGGGTGATACTTTTCAAATGCTGTTATCCTCACGTGCCTGGTTGGCAATGTGTAAGGAGAGGAGTGATATGTGGGTTGGGAGGTTTGTTGAGTACCATCTCTATGTACTGGATACCCCTTTTGAAGTTCCTGGCCAAAATCTAAGGGGCAATTTGAGCTACTGCTTTGTTCAATCTGCTGGGAATGGTTTGATGTGTGTGACTGTGAGGAGTCCTATGCAGTGTCTATTTAATGCTGTTCATTGGCTATGAAAAATGAACCCTAATTTTTAGGGTCATCCAGATGTCTCATGAATACTGAATGCAAGCATTCCATGTACATCCCTGCTTACTCCAAAAGCAGGGGAAGAGTTGATGTTTTAATGGCTAAAAATAAAAATCAAACTAGTAAGCTATGATAAAATAACAAGACATCTTATTTTGAAAGTTACAGTACAGTATATTTTCACTTAGCATGTTTTTGATGTCACTGGAGTACCTGTACTCTTATCTTAAACCAGTTTTTATGATTGAAGGACCTTAGATCCACATCTATGTGGGTGTCTCCTCACTGCTACCAGCGAGCACTGCAGATGGTGCATTTTTCACAGTGGATCTTGTTCCCAATGGCTCTCCTGAAGGCATAGGTCATGAACAGCTTGGGAAATGTGACTAACACATCAGAAATGATGCTATTTGGTTATAATAAAAATAACCAGATAACTAAACAGGTCTCTTTAAAATTAATTAAGTGAATGAGTCAATAGTCAGCTGCACTTAAAAATGTCTTGCTATATTCCTGTAACTGGTTTCCCTGTTTAAATCAATGAATCAATCAGTCAGTCTCCCTCTGGTTTAGTAAATTGAGTGGCTCATGGAAGGCCTGGATAGATTTCTGAGGCAGCACAAAGGAAAGGCCAGATGTTTAGGAGTGGCAGAAGAGGAAGGGAGGAGATGGACTTCTGCTTCGCAAGTGACTGACTTTGTACTTGCATAAGAGCTCTTTCCTCTCTGAAGGTGGAAGGGCATGCTCTTGAAGGAAACTTTTTATTTAAACTCTTTTTGAAGTAGTTCCTTAGATTATAAGAATGTATTTTTAATGGAAGATTAAATCTGAAAGAGATTTTGAAAACTACTATTAAAAAAAAAAAAAGGTATAGTTCTGCATTGTGCAGATTTGTCAAAATGATCTCAAGGATTGCAGTTGTGTTTACTTTCAAGGCATCTTCTTTTACAGTAATCCCTTGTTGATTTACTTTTCAAGACACTGCCAAGAAGGGCATGTTGGAGTTCAGTTGTATTTTTGCTGTCAAGGATGAGGTATTTGGGTTGGGAATCATTCATTTTAATTCTCTAATAGTTGCCAGGGTAATATATGATTGTCATCACTTGAAACAGATGCTGCTTCTGTGGAGTGATAACAATAAAATGTCTTCTCCCAGTGCTACTATGTTCTTTGATCAACCAAAATATTCTTGAGTTCATAGTGATCTTCTTGCTATCCAACTTATATCAGTTGCTGTGTCTCATGTGCCCTCTCTGCAATGCAGAGTAGCTGCTGATGGTTTGAAACATCTTTTCTCCCATTGTACACACACATCCCATGACTGCCTATTTTTGAATTGGCTAAATGGCTTAATCTTCTTGGTTTCCTACCATTTATACAGCTGCAACCTCTGACAAGATATTGGGATGAAGTTGAGTTTTGAGGGTCCTTCTGCCTCTCTGTGCCATTTCTAGGCATTAAGCCTCCACAGCACAGGTCACAGAAGAACACGGTCTCATTTGATGTGTTGAGGAGGTCAAAGCATTGCAGCTCACCCTTACAGGGCAGAAAGATTTGCTCTCCTGTTCTCATTTGAAATTTCTAATTAGTGACATAGCTGTGGCTTTGGTAGCTGCAGGAACCATCGAATATGTCCCTTTTTTTGGGGTCCTGGGGTTCAGCAGAAGCAGTCTAGTCAATGTTAACAGTCGGTGGGAAAAAAGCTGCCCACATCAGGCAGAGCACTTGCATCTGTGCTCATGAGAGAGACCCATCAACAGTGGAGCCTTTCCTGGTTTGGTAATTACTATTATTTGGACTCCACACAGGGAACATAGTAATGTCTGGCTTCTAAAATGATGATTTGACATAGCTAGTTACTCCCCTTACACATGTTTTATAGTGATCCGCTGTATATTTATACAGCGTGGGAATTTATCCACAATTTATCCATTATAAGACCTTTTAATAGCTTATTAATTGAAGGATTTGACAGACAAGAAAGGGAAAAATTAAGCTTTCCTTTTATTTTTTCTTTTTCTTTTCTTTTTTAAGGAAATTTCAAACTTCTCTCTTCTGTTTAGACTGTTGTCCAGTGTAAGATGAGTTACAAAGATCATAATATTTTGAAAATAGTTGTCATTGTTTTCTGCTGTGTTCATTTTGACTGTTCCACTGCATATGTTTAAAAGCTAATATTGTAAGAACAGCAAAAGTATGAATTATATGGTACTTCTTCAAGTCCAGTTACTTCCCTAAAGTAAAAGCTTTTCTTCATGAATTAATGTAAATTTATCTTAGTTCCTTTTTATATGATGCATAGGTACGTGTGCTTGGAGGAACTTCTCCTCCTAGGTCCTTAAAAGAGATGGGTTTTTATGTTTTGAAAATGCAGGTTTTAATAAAAGAATCTTACAAAGTGCTTCTCAACCCGAGGTAGCTGTCACTGCTCTGGATTTGTAAAGTGCTATTGAGAGGGCATTGGATATGCTGGGCTGTAGAGTTGTTAAAAGAACTTTTCTGCATATAGGAGCTACAGTTCTGGCTGGTGATATTAAAGTCATTTTGTTCAGAGTTGTTTTGATCTGTTGTCTCTGGATCTCAATGTGATTACATGCCTTATTAATTTTCCTGCAGTTCTTATTTATTAGTCTGAATGAATACAGTATTAACCATGAAGTGATACACATCTGCTTTTGGTTTAACCAAATATTGACAGTTTTGCCTATTGATTTAGTTCGTTTTGTAGGATTTGTTTTATCAATGTAGTCTTAACTGTTTCAGCTTAATAATGTGAATATATTTCACTACTATTATTAGCCTGTTTTACTAATTCCTTGTAGGAATTTTGTTAGTGTTGTGAAAGTATTTTTGTGATTTTTGGTTGGGTCAATTTTTGGCCTATATTAGTGAGTGTCGTGTTTTAACTGAATGGAAGTTGGCATTAAACTCTTAATCTCTTTCATATTTAATTAATTGGAGGGGATTGGCTCAGTGTTTCTTTTGCTTACATTTATTTTAAAAGTTCCCTATGCAAATATTTCAAAGATTAAGGCTTTTTTTAGTGAAAAATTGAGTTTTAGGATTATGGCTTGTATTAACTTTTTTCTCCCTTGGTATGTCTACTTAAGATTGGTGAACTAAAATTTAGATTGTGTATAATCATAGTAATAATGTCAGCTTTTTACACTTACGTGTACATTTGCTGTTTGTATATATTTCATAGAGTATGGACTTACACTATCTGTTTGTATAATACAGGTAAATTTCATAACCTGTATTAGAAGTTCCTTCCTGAATTTTTAGTAAGCGTAGATCAGGTTGGATAAGGAATTTAGTGTACCTTGTGATTGAGCAACATATTCTTTTATGTTTGTGTTGTGAGGTTTTTTTGGGGGGGGGGTGTTTGGTTTTTTTTTTGGTTTTTTTTTTTTTGGTGGTTGGCCTTTGATTTATTGGAACAGCCAAATACAAAAATCTCTTACGTGTTATTTTGGCTTGGCAGAAATAATGCAAAGAACTGTCAAAGGCAAAGAGTATGCAGAAGCTGTCATTTCCTTTTTACCACTGAAGAATAGATTTGTCTGGATTATGCCTTCAATGCTAATCTATTTCTGTGTGGCCAAACAGATTTTTGGAACCTTTTGGTAGCGTATTTATTTTCTATTCGCTTCAAGCCAAATGCTGTAATGTCATATGTTTTTTTGGCACATACAGGGTGATTATGTGAAAAAAGTTAGAGAAGGACTTTGAAGTTAAGAACTCTGATTTAGACCACTTAAATTGAGATTGCCACTTAATGCAATTAGGTCATGGCTAGCATTACTTGTACGTTCAACTGTGGATTTTTTTTTTAACTTTACAGCTTGCTTTAATATTAAGGATCATAGTTAAAATTCCTCATCAGTTCCAAAAGAACATATTGCAAAATTTTACCACAGTTTTATACCTTTTTTGTTAATTCAGTTGGCTATTTAAATAAGCTTAATTTCAGTCTTCCTTCTACTGGTAAGCATGTTTTTCTTTCTATACTGTTTCAACAGAAAGCACGTTGCCTCTTCTGATTGTAATAGGGCCATGCTACTGAAGCCTTGTGTCTTAGCTAATGATTATAACATTTCTGTTTTGAGGCATTGATACGTTTAACATAATACCCATTCTTTATTTGTTTGAAAGTCTTCAGTATTTCAAAATGATGTGACAGACATGCTCACGCTATACATGCTTCTTTCTGCAGCTTTTGGTTTAGAATAAAACAGTTACATGCCTCTTTCTACTCTGCTTTCCCACTGTACAGATGACAGCATCTCAGCTGCGAGCACGTCTGATGTCCAGGACCGTCTTTCGGCCCTGGAGCTGAGAGTACAGCAACAAGAAGATGAAATCACTGTGCTAAAAGCAGCACTGGCTGATGTGCTAAGGCGGCTTGCTATCTCTGAAGACCATGTAGCTTCTGTGAGAAAATCAACACCCAGTAAAGGTAAGCCCATATTTGACAAATTCTTCCTAGAGTCAGACTGCTATAATTTAAAATGTTCTCCACTGATCACTTCTTTTTTACCTTTTCAATCTCATTTTCAACAGCAAGTATATTTTGAGTTGGAGGGGTTGTTTTTTTATGAGTGGCTTTATAGTATATAGCTAATAGATACCCAATATATGCTCATTAATTTCTCTGTTTGTTAACATTTTTATGTACTTAACACCCCTGAAAATCTACCTTATTTCTTTTTAAAAGGTTCCTCTTTTAATTTGAATGGTGAAATGCTTTACAGCTACAGTCTTTAACCTGCCACTGGGGGTTCTAGGGCTTATGGGCAGTTCTGAGTCTCAGCTTTTACTTCACCTAGAAGTTATTCCAATGGAGGAGCATATTAGAGGCTACATTTCCCTCTGCTCCTAAATTAAAACCAAACCAAAACAAAAAACCCCAAAACACATTGCCACCAAATAAGGAAGCTTTCTGAATATAGTTAATTTTTGTTTGCCTACAGAGATAACTCACTACCAGTAGGTTTCTTGCAAGAGGCAGCCATGTAGCCACTCAGTGATATCTCTCTTGGTTAGTGCCTAGTAACTTTTACATTGCAACTTTGAAGTATATAGGATTGTTTAGAAGGAAAGAAACTAGATGCTGTTTGCACTAATTTTTATATACATTTTTTCCCTTGTAGACATTTCCTTTTCTATTCTGAAAAACTATTAAAATAGTTATTTGCATTTACTCTAACTTAAAATTATGTATTTGGAGAGAACTGTAGCTATTCATGTTTGTGATGTATATTAGGCCTCTGATGAAATAAAAGGTTAGGTCATATTTCAGATAATTCACAGTCCTAATTCACCATAAATGCATGTATCCCTATCAAACCATGCAGTGCGGAGTTCTCTGGGCTCAATCCCTGTATTTCAGCCTTGAAATACATCTATTACACCAATACCAGTAAAATACTGAACTGACCCATCATAACCTATGTTTGTTTGGGTGGCTATATTATACAGGCTGAAAATGCAAAAGCTGAAAATGCTGAAAGTTTGAATTATTTTAGATGTGGCGGAGAGATCAAATTCCTTAATTAGGTGTTTTTGCAGTCTCTCTGCCAGATGGAAGGAAGTGATGATGCTTAATTGGCTTGTACTCTGAATCCTGCCATTCTGTCTTGCTTGCTAAATGGTAGGCTGTTGTCATCCCTGCTTATAAATGCAGCTTTTATCTACCTGATAAGGTGTCTCTAGTCTCATCAAGATTGAGACTTCCTTCTCTAACTGTGTAAATAGACCTTTAGCAAGTATTTAAAATAAATCACTCTTTGCTGTCTGCTGTCCATTATTACAAAAAGAAAACATGCAAGTGGAAAACTGGGCAAAACATGCAACAGAGGACCTTATTCTTCCCATTTAGGTGCAGAGGAGCTGGGATACACACAAATGTGGTTAAAGACCTTTGGTTTGGAGCTAACACCCAGCAAACCCCATGCACAGGCAGGTCAAACTTGCTGTGTTCTGCAGAATGCCTTGGGCCATCTCCTTACTGGGACTCTGGGGGTCTTGGGGCCATACCAAGTTCTCCAGGTGAATTTGTTCAGTGAAAAATAAATTCCTTCTTTCTTGGGGGGAAGAGGAGGGTGGAATATCTAAATATCTTCAGCTTTGTGCTGTTACTGCTCTACCAGTTAATGACAACAGCATGTTACTGTGAAGAAAGAGATGGAGTCGGCGACAGAGATGTACGCATATGAGCTAATACTCTGAACTTAAATGAGTTATGACTTATTGGCATTGTATTTAATTTGTGGTGGATGTGTCCCCATTGTGTTCAGTTATCCAGTACCACTAGGCAACACATTAACTTCACTCTTTATCGTGAAATCAGATGTATATAGATGGCATAAAGATGTCACAAAATAAAATGTTCACATATAGTTGCTAGAATTTTGTACAAATCTAAAGTGAGACTTGAAGAATGAGCCTGAGATTAATATTGATTTAAACCTAAACATCAATATTTTAATAAATATGTCAAACCAAGTTCGTACATATCTTTTTGCAATACCTTAGGTTCAGCTTTTGATTTCTGTATTTTAAATTCATTCAGTAGATAAAGAACTCTTGAAATGTTTTAACAAAGAGAAATGTATTATTTTCGTGAACGAGTAAGATTGGCAGAAGATCTGAATTGTCATACAAAAATAGTACTTGAGGAAGTAATTGTTAATTTTTCTTTGAAGTATTTTGTGGATACATAACAGGCTCTTACTAGTCAAGTCATGGTTTCTGCAAAGGTAATTGTACTCCTCCAAAACTTTTTGGTATTTGTGGTCCTATCAAGAATCTGGATTTCTGCATTACAACAATTGTAGTTTCATGGTAAATATTACAGGTGGGTTTTCTTTAAAAAAAAATGCTGAGGCTTTGATTCACAGAAGTAATTGCAGCAGCCCTTTAATACATGCTGACATGAAAAATGAGTAAAGAGAATAGATGTGTATATATTATGTGAATACACTGAGAGAGATGTATTTAGTTTGAAGTATACCAACACAGTGAGATAAATACTTTTAAATAAGTTGAACTTAAAAGACTCATAGTACTGGAAAAAGCCATATTGAATCTTTACATCGAGCAAGAGTTTTAATCTGAGTAAGAGATACTAACCTTGTTTGAAGGAGTCTTTCCCGCTTACTGCTGAAATGAGTTCTCTAAAACCTCTCAATTTTTTGTTTTGCTGTCTCAGCAGTGTCTTTAAAGAGAGGTTTTTCACAGGCTAAGAACAAGTGTTCTGAACAGGCTGTGTATCATGCTGAAAGGGAGAAATCCCGATCACTTTTTCACTGATTTTTCTCATGCTCAAGTTGATGGTCCAGCTTAGTGCAAAAAGATATCTCTTCATCCTTTGTGTTAGTTTGCATTGTGTATCTGGTGAGCTAATTCTGTTCTCATTTTTCTTATCCCTTTATTTTAGATTGACAGATTGAACCAACCACAGCTGAACACAAATTTCTTTTCATTATCTTTGTTTTTCTTTTTTCCTCTATTTTTGTTGCATGCTTATTTTGTAGTCCAGTCTTCAGTGAGAAAATTCACATGGGCATGGGCAGATTTTTATTTCTAACCCATGCGCTATCAGTCAGGAGGTTACTGCCTGTGATTTTGTCTGTCCAGCCCTGTCTCAGAAGCAAGCTGCTCTTCATACAGGGATAGCTTGAGATAAGCTAAAGGGTGAGATTTTTTTTTAGCCACCTTAGTGCCTCCTAGTAAAGCATGAAGTGGAAATACTGTATGAGGGAAATGCCACTAGCAAGGATTGCAACAGAATTAGCCCTTGTCTGTTATTGAACAGTGAAAAGCAGACTGGGATTGTTTGTATGTGGCTTGTTTTCTGATATAGTATTTCTCAATGCAGTCATTCTAAATAGAGAAATCTTTTAAAAATAAAAAGGCTTGGATAGTACTTCTCCATCTCTGTGCACAACTAAGAATAACTACATGAAGGAGAAATTACCAGGTCCACAGATAGTGTTGAGGATTAGAAATGTGAAAAGGCTTGGTTAGGGAACAGGTCCCCAGCTACAAGGTTTGGGGAGTTGTAGTGTGTGAGTGCTTTTGTGGGGTTTTTTTTCCTTCCTTTCTATCTTTCTTTTTGTCTGTCTTGTCTTTTTTATTAGATGGTTTGGTAAGAAGAATTTCTTTGGTGGGAAGTTCTTTGCCTTTGGCAGCTCTGCTCTCTTGTTGCCACATGCCTCTGCTGTTGATGCATGGTTGATGCTGTTAACATTCACAAAAAGTTCCAAAAACAAAGATTACCTGGACACCAAAGAAAAGGAAAGCATAAAGCAGTCTGCTACTTGCGGCTGCCAGCAAGATAGATTGGCTCACAACTGGTGCCTGGTAAACCTATTAAAATCTTCCATGGTATCAAAATGTGTGTAACAGGAGAATTCATCCCTCAGGCTCCTGGTGTGGAGACAAGTTTGTGGCGCACAGTGGCACCAGTAAAGTATCTCAGACTAATCATGTCACTGGGGTATGAGCTCTTGCCTGAAAAAGTGGCCATCTACCAGAAAGTACATCTGGTATCTGTTCATAGAGAAACAAAGAGTTCATGTCCTTTTTCTGGACGCGGAATTAATGAGGAGGCTTGTCACAGGTTAAACCTTTGGAGGAACATTTCCTGTTGCTTGGATAAGAGTTGATATCAAATAACTCATACAGAAATTCAACTCACAAAGTGAAACTGAAGCAGTAGGCGTCAGTTTGCAGAGAGGGTCTTCCATGACAGTGCTGACTGGCAGACTGGGAGGCATTTATTTTACTTCAAGCAGTGATCTTGAGGACCTGCAAAAGCCACTATGCACTGGAAATGCAGATATTTATTTTTAAATTATTTTTTTCATTTATGCAGTAGATTTTTATAAAACGAACCTGTAGAGTTTTCATTCCTTTACTGCTCCCTTCTCTCCTGTGAAATAGTGTGTGGCTTGAATAGGAAATATCCTAAGTAGTATCCCACATCAAATTCCGTCTCATTGCACTAATGTAGGCAAAGCACTTCAGATGGTATTTTCACCTGATCTCAACAATAGTTTCATTTCAATAACATTAAGTAATTTTGTTTTATGTTAACAAAATTGACTTTAGGTGTTCAGCAAACTTCATTAATGAAAGCATGATAGACTTGCATTTGTGGTTTTAGTCTTAACACATTTTAATGTGCAGAATTGTTCTAATAACTGGGTACATGTTTATGTTGTTTAATCAGTGAATGTTAGAGGAACAGAAAATAGAAGCATAGATAGGAAAATTCTTATGGTAGAGGTAGGATATAGTCTATTATCCAGAATACTAAAACCTAACCTGTCATGCTTGCACATGGGAATAGTCCAATTGAAGTCTGCAGGCTGTATGCTCTCATAACAAATAATGATACTCTTGAGGTCTTAATGGATTTTCCAGGTATGGGTTTTAGTGCCATCTGTTCTT